CTGCGGATCCCAGTAGGAACACCATAACAAACAGGAGCAGCTCCTATTAGAAATGGCAGCATGCATGCCTCTCTAGCTCCGGCCATGAACGAACCTATTGTACGTCCCTTGTGATCGCATATGGAATTCCGAGATCCGTCGAAACTTGTTGCCTTCTTCCGTGAAGATGGCTTCTTCTTCCTCATCAATGGTTTCTTGGTGTTGCCTTTTATATCCATGGCTGCTAGTTCATCGGCTAGTGAGTTGCAGCAGTGGCTGCTGCAATTCTCTGAACAACTCGACCTCTCTTTCAACCATCCTTCCAACATGGCCTTCCCAAACCGGTCTATGTCTCTGTCCGTTACGTCCCATAGGTTGGCCACGATGGCCGGGGAACTGGCTAGTAGATACGACAGTGGAATACCTTGTGGAATGTAGCAGCCTTTCAGCCACAATGAACCGCTGCTGCATCCCATCAGGAAAGTTGCTGCACAGTTTTCCAGATTCTCAATCTCATGCCTCGAAATATACTGTGCTCCTGCAGGTATTATCAAACATCAACAGTTTTTAAGAAATCAAACTCAGAAATGGAAAAGAAAAAGCCCGATTTTATATGGACTGGTAGAGATGAAATCATCATACCGCTTCCATGACCAAAGTATAAAAAGAGGTCATGGTTTTTCAGAGCTTCAGTCAGCTCTTGAGCAGTTGGTACGGATCCAGCTTTGCCCTGAAAAGTACACGAAATAACAGTAGTTCAATAGATGATCATGATGTTTAACACTAAAAAAATATAAAACAAAACAGGGTTTCTAAGCTTTACCTCCAAGTTTTGATCTTTGAACCAGCTCTCAAACTCGACTTGTGTATCGCTGAGGTCACCACCAGGATTTAACAAATAAAATGCATCGAGCGGATCAATGAGAGGGATGGGAGCAAGATGACATGTCATCGACTCTCCTTGGAGACAGCGTTTCTTTTGCACTGCAGATATGCTGCCCACACAAGGCATTCGGTATACCTCCTGTCTTCTTAATACTGGAATGTTCTCCCAAGGAAGCATCTACCCAAATGTTAACGAGTCAGTCAGTCAGTCAGTCCAAAACATATGGCCAGTCTCAACACCGAGACTAAGTTAACATAAGACAATTTAAATATTGGAACTCGAAGCCTGATAGATACATAAGTCTACGCACTACCCAGAACGATAAATCATCAACCAAAGCCTTAAGCTTATCTTAATTTCACTACGCATCAAACCTAAGAGACTAATCGAGAACAGAAATAAATAATTAATGCAGTCAGTATTAGCAATTAGCAGGTCAGGTTTATGTCATGCTGTCATGGGTGCACCATACCACACAAATAACCGAAACAAAGTTTTTTTTCCTGATAATACATGTGCAGGACGTGAGACGGATGTAATCAACTGACCTGAACCTCAGGATCCAATACAAGAATAATCGGTTCTCTTTGTTCTTGACCCTCATCATGCAGCTCAAGTTTGGTTGCTGCTTCATGTATCAGTTGTAAGGCCAATCCATGCCTGCTTTCAGAAACATTAGATGCAGATGTAGGGGTTGTACAGCTATCTTCTTCATCAAAATAGTCCCCTCGACCTACATAGCAACCATTTTTTAAGCAAAGCTGAGCAATGCATGCTTCTCCTTTAAAGTCTTCTGTCCCACCTCCAAGAATAACCTTAAGAAGCATCTCATTTACTTCCATTTTGCATTTGGACCTGAGATCATTCAGCAGTTTTTTCTGCATAATGTCTGGCAATTTGCAGTTAGACAATTCTCCCAGAAGCATGTGCCTCCAAGGACCGAGCCAAGAATCTTCTAGATTCCTAGAACAAAAGAAGGTGAAGTGATATTGTCAACAAAAATTGCAGACTTTTCCACCAGTGTGGATCTACAAAGCTGGACTAAAAAACAGTCCTCACTGTATTGAGTCAATTCTTAAATTTCCTCACGAATAAACACATTAAAGCATGAAGAAAAAGCTGAAATATTTCAAAAATATAATAAACCAGGAAGCAAACTCATTTGTTGCTAAATTGCTCAACATGTACATCTGGTATAGAAAAGCATCATACCTAAGGAATTTACCAAGACGATTATCTAGTTTCTTTCTCTTTTTCCACCATAAACATCTATTCTCTTTTGTGTCTTCTGCCGGAAACTGAGAAGAAGAAAAGTAATTCTCCTCCAATATTGATTTGAATGCTGGCGCTACGTCATCAACCACAGTGGAACCCCATGGGCAGAGCCATTGCTTTTTCAAATCCTTCAATCCAATTTCTTCATTAGAGCGAGGATTTGTGTTGTCATCTGAGATGTCTAGCGAAACATAACCTAACTGAGATCATGTTCTATATGTGTTGACAAAAAGAAAATCAAGTTGATAAATGGGTCTGCAGGTAGAAATTTACCTTCTAGAACTGAAACCACTGGCAGAAGTACAGCTACTGGTTGACTCTTTGAATTTAATCGCGACAAGAGCAGCCATGCACAAACAGGTGAAGAAATTTGCATAAGCTCCCGTAACAATCCACTTAAAGCACCTCCAAGCAAACTAATGCAGATGATTGCGGGGCTTGAAAGATTATTGAAGAAGTTCTTTACAAACTGCAGAAGATCTTGAGAACGATCAGGAGCAAGCCTACAATGTCGAGTAAAAGAATAGAGTTAGTAAACGGGAACTTTTGTGGCATGTTAGTTTGCTTCTGTTATCTATCTCAACTCGGACCTGGGTAAGTCCAGTTCAGCAGCAGCCACAGAACATGAGCCAGTAGCCTGTATGAACTGAAAAGCAGTAACACATGAAAACAGTACATGCATCTTCTTAATGAAAAAGAAAGGAAATAAGCATTTAGGTGTGGCAAAAATCACCAATAAATACAGAGGTTACAGGAGTAGTTATCCGCCACCCCCAATCGAAAAAGTCGACAGACAAGCCAAATTAGAAATTATTGACCTCTTTATCTGATTGGCATCTCTGCATGTGTCCTCTGCTCACATTTGAAAAGAACTGGAAACTGATATGTGTACCAAGTGAGGCTTGATGAAAATATGAAACCCAATGACTTGCAGATAGCTCATCCGTACATTGGAGTGAGAACTCGGCACTTGAAGCAGCTAGCAGATATAAAGCAGCAAGCAAACTTGAAACCTGTTATGAATCAAATAAAGTCAATACACTGCAGAATCAAGATCACAGCACGACTGGCAACATCAGGTTATCGATGAATACAGCCAAACATTTACCTTTTGAAAAAGTATTGGAACCTCTCTGCTGAGTACAAAAGCCAACTTTAGCAACACCACCAAGTTTGGAAATGGAATATGAGAAAGTTCACAGCAGGTAGACCTGTTGGAAATAACAGTCAGAAAGCAAAGAACCATATTAAGTACACAATTCTGATAAGATATTTGATCAATTTAGGATAATAGTTTCCTCATGGCAGCAGTTTTGCTTGGGAAGGACGGAAGTCCCAGCCTAGCAAAAACAGATCTAAGTGTCATATGAACAATATGCACAAGCTCTTACATACCCGCTCGCCCGTAAGTGATAATTCTGTAGACTCAACCAGCACGTGTTGTATAGTATTGATGCACGCTCAACAGCAAATACATCTAATGTAAGTTCCTTCCCTATAAAATCTAGCAATTGACCTATAGAAGGCGGACTGAGGGTAGAGTGGTTGCTGTTAAACAGAACGAAGATGCTCTGCAGTAGTGCTTCATGTGCTTGATGAACTTTTCCAGAGTCTGCCAAGCATTTTCCTGAACAAAAAAAAATTGAAGTTATCAGAACAAACACAGATTTTCCAGTCAGAATTTCGTAACTGAATTGTGTTTGTCAAGTGAAAAAGTTGAAGAAAAAAAATGCATGTTTATTGCTGGTCACCAAGAAAAATGCGGCTGAGGAACAACACTTTATGACAGTCAATTATGAAAGGAGAAGGAAAACAGAATGCAGTTTGTATGGCCAAAAACTAGCACATTCTTAAAGTCTGTCAATAATGTATGGACATTTGAACTGTTACTGGATCCATGTTCTCTTCTAACATATAATGTCTGCTGATTTTGTCAACAGAACAAAAACTATCTGCAGGTATCATCTGCATGCATGCAGTTATGCTTGTAGAAAAAAATATCAAAAGGAACTAGAACTTACCAAGGCTAACTAATGTGGTAGACACAATCCTCCTATAACAGAATTCCCATTCCAAACGTGTTAACCAATTCAGCGAGCCAAACTCCATTACTTCTTCAGAGCAACACAGCAGACATTTTCCATTATTGCAAATGCAAATGCCAAGGGTTGTACTTTTTGCATCCAAGATCGACTCCCTTTCATCAACACCATTTGGCAAAACAGATTCAACACTAAAACTAGATTTTTTTGAAACATCTGCATCCATACTAGCAGAACAGCTTTGACATTGTTCTTTCAGAGACTGGCGCATTGAACGGGTGATCCTTGAACTAGGCTTAGATATCAAATTATTGTCCTTTGACAAGCAAGTTTCAGAATTTTTAGCTCTTCGACCCCTCCTGGTGTCTCTGTTAGCTGTTAGCGCCTTCTTTATACTGGGTCCCATTTTGTTTGACTGATATCCTACATTTTTCTCGACGTTATTCCCATTCTCTCCTTCATCAAAATTTGCTTCTGCATGACGACTACTGCTACTTTTCCATGCTGAGCAACTGATTTTGCTTAAGGCCGAGCTAAACAGACTTTCAGCATGGGATAATCTGTCTATCTGAGAGAGACTAGCTGCACTGTCAAACTGTCTTTGAGTTAAGTCTCCAAGTTGCTGATCCAATTTAGCTTCTAACATCAATCTGCACTTGAGGCAAGAAAAATCTCTCTGATTATTGAGTAGCAACTCTTTTGCACTTTGGAGTTCCTTTGCAGCTAAATCCAAACTTAGCTTTTTGTGGTAGAGATTTCCTATTAAAGATCAGTGACACAACAGCTGTGAAGTAGCTTTCTATAAGGGAAACCACAAGAAAAAACAAACTGCAGAAAAAAAAGTCTATACGTACCTAAGGCAGAAGAAAATGCCACTACAAATGGCGATAAACTCTGTGAGCATGAAATGGCTTTGCCCCACGATAGAAGTGTTTCTGCTTCTGCTCCGTTCCCAATTAGCTCATTAACAACTCCAACCTGCTACATGCCAAGATATAAATAAAAAGAAAGTCGGTGTAACTCAGATAGAGTAGAAACCTTGAACAGAAACAGGACCTGAAGAGTGCTTTCCAGATAACACTGGAGCACATTCCACGGACTTAAGTAGCTTCTATTGATATCCCAAAGAAAATTTCCACATGGCCAGAAATCAGTTGCTATCGATTTCACCACCTCTAAACTTTTTATCCCGTAAACCCTTATCTCGGTTGTTCTTCCCGCGTTGTTATGCTTTTCAGACTGCTTCTCAGCTGTATACTTAAACGTCTCTTGAAAACTAAGAGTCCGTATCCTATGGGCTTCTTTTGCATATGAAAGAGCCTGTGAGGAAGGAAAACCATTAGAAGTATTTACATCAAAAGAAAAGCTAAAACTGGGACCAATTCAAATTACAAGAAATCTTCATGTATTTGGGTATTAAGAACCCAATTTCAGAAACCACTGCAAACTCTAACCAACACAATTGGGAGTATTTCACAAGTATACTTTTCAGTAAATAGATTCAAAACGTGTATCCTGATTTACCTCAGAAAACTTTCCGTGCATAATGAGCCTTTCACAGAGATAATAATATAGATATGCAGCTGCAAAAGCCGGATGACTAGGAGGTGGAACCTGATACCATTAGCAAGCAAAAATATACATCACCTATTGCCCTTGATAAAAAATGTTATAGAAGGAAAATGAACAGAAATCAGTTTCCTTACACTTGAAAGGAGCTCCGAAGCGGTGTTTTTTATATCATCTATTGTAATGTCCGGTTGAAAGGTTCTTCGTGCATACTTGTTGGAGATATTGAAGAAATCATAATGTAAAAAGTGGAAGTTCTGCAAGAACCCGATTGATTTTGCTTTGGATTCTTTCAGGCAATCCATCCAGAACTCAACAGACAAAGAATTTTCCCCACAGTACTCTGATATGCTCAGGATGAAGGCATCACTTATCGTAGAAGGACATAATGCATGGTTGAGCCTTCTAAACTCCCATAGCATTGCTAGACAGACCTCCATTTTGACATTCTTCCATTTAAATAATTTAAAGATCAGCTGATATAGTTGATGATGGAGCTCACTGCAACCCTGAACACAGATGAAAAGAAGTATCTCAAGACCGGAGAAAAGTGACACAAACACCATAAACTGAACTTCCAACCAGATAATACTACAACAGGTACCTTCATTGACATCAAATCGATTATATTATACAGTAGGGGAATCATGTTTTCCGGTAGCATGCTGTTGTCTCTATCAACGGGGTTGGGAATACTTAGCCAGAGACTCAGTGAAGCGCTAATATCTTGGAAGACTTGCTGGCAAGGACAATTAAGGAAAATAAGTTAAATGAGAAGATAAACTTAGGCATGGACACTAAAAGATAGACTAAATATAAATGCAATGAACTGTAACTCAAATTACTGTAGAAACTAGCGGTTTATGCATCAACACCTTTGAGTTTGGTTCAGTTTCCTGGATACATAATGCTCTTAAACAATATGCAACAGGTAATTGGTGGCAAGATGTAGAACCACGGTTAGTTGGCTCGGAATATACATCACCCTGTCACAACGAGTACCAGAAGTTGGTCACAAAAATGCTAGGAATACGGGCAAGCTATCAATGTAACAAGGTAGTGACATGTACCAATATAGATATTGCCTCGGACAAACATTGAATGCAGTCCCTTAAGCGTTCAGTTCCAGAGGTTCTATTCATTCTTGCTTTCCATATTAAAATCCGTGCTCTTTCTATGTGCATATCTACAGTGACATAAACATCTTTCAAAAGAATATCTGCTGTTTCCATTTGCATCTGCAGACCACGATTTGAGGATGAAGGGAACAGCTCCTCGTAAACAAAAAGCTCCTACAAAAATTTATACAACAGAGGAATTAATAAATAAACAACACAATGGTATCTCAAGCACCAAAATCCACATATATGTACCAGCTACATGTGACAAATTTAACTAGGACAAACACTATATCCATCCAAACAATGACTGTAATGTTGTTAGGACTCAACCTGCTCTAGGATTTTTCCCATAGTCCTCCTTGAAAATTTCTGTGAAGATGACAGCAAAGAGTACAGAGTTGTGCAAGACTTAGCCGGATCCAGATTTTCATGACGTCTACATTCCATCTAATAAAAAGATACAATCAGATACTGTTAAGTCAATAAGTAGTCCTAAAGCTTATATTTCTTCAAATAGAGTTACCTTGACCCAATGCCTCACTACTGCCATAGGGCCTGGCAACTCTGTGATCAGGTCTCCAGCTGCAGACCAATTTTCTAGAAGTAACACAATTTTCTTTTTTAATTTATGTCTGCTGCATTGCTGGAGGATATCGAGATAGAGTGCATATCTGTTACATGCTTCACCGACAAAATCAATAATGGCTTCTTCTGTCTGGCAATCCTCAGATGAATTAGATTGATTTACAAACATCTGACAAAATTTTTGGACACAAGTCCAAGATGCTCTAAAACACAATTTGAGCACCTTGCAAGCCTGCAAAATAGAACACTTACCATGAACAGAGGCAAGGTACAAATTGAATGGAAAACAGTGCATACGTGTGCATAACATCAACATGGATAACTCAAGAACAAATTTTTCTGTAGGCATCAAACAGGTTTGCATTGCAAATCTACAGGAAGCCTAAATTGCTGAAAACCATTTATAGCACATATGTACTCACCTTTTTTAGTTGCTTATTTCTGTATAACACTACACCAATATTGTAAAGTGAAACAAAAAGATACTTGAGTTCCTGAGGTCGAATCCATGGACTGGATATTACATCCTCAACTAGACAGGCACTGATCTGAAAAGGGAAACAAGTCACTTAGGTCCGCAATGGCATTTTCATGAAATGTGGAACTTGAACAGAAATTTTTATTCTGATTTGCAAGAAAGCATTTTAAACCTTCACTTTAAGCTGAGTTCTCAGTGACAGGATGAATGCAGCCATAGCCACATTTAGCATAGTCTTGTTATGTTCATTATCTCTGCCTCCCTTGTCAGACATACTCCTAACAGTAGGTTGAAGAAATGTGAAAAACACATTAAACTGCCAAGACAATATTCAACCAAAGAAATATATATTGTTCCTTATTTTTAATACAATACTAACTGCATAGAAACAATAGCTCCCTACTTTTCATGGTGTTGCAGCCACTCGCATATTAGCCTAAGGAAAATGAATGAAGTAGCCTTTTAACTGGTAATCTTACGAAACTATTGTTTTTACACATGCCGGCTATAGACAGTCCAAAAACTGATAAGTTATTTTCGCACAGTAAGATGGACCCCAGCAGACCTGCAGGAGACAGCACAAGAAACAGAAAAATGATACCATACCTCTGAAGGAAAAGACAACCATCGCAACAATGAAGAAAAACTTCCTGTAAAACAGATAGATGGGCAGACGGACAGGCGAATTCTGTTTCCAATACTATCTTCCTTTTCATTGAATTTATCAAATCTGCAAGTGGTAGGCACAAGAACTTCAAGGCGTCTACGTAAGGTAGCTCGTAAGTCTTCTTGCTATTGTTTGTGCAGGTAACATTTGTTTTACTATTGCAACTCTCTATCAAGCCCAGTAGAGAAACTAAGTTCTGCCACCTATCCTCATCATCAAGCAGAGCTCGAATCTGCCAATCATCTGTTGTTTCTTTAACATCACCTTCTCTGAGCTTGAAATCAGAAATACCAATGGACAGCCCGGCTGAATAAAGTCTTACAATCATATTAAGGTGTGGTATAGCCTGCCAAATGCTAAAAATATAAATTTACTACTCCAGTGTACTTCTCGATTAACCGTGTGAGATAGGTTTACACGCCCAAGAGTGAAGATACCTCAGAGAAAACAGACGCTATCTCGTTCAAGTGTTTTGAAACTCTGGCACGCCACAAGTATTCTGCTCCTTGGAACTTATGAGCACAATATGAGATTAGATCAACAAGCTCAACCCAACTTTCATCAGTTTCAACCTGGAAAAGAAACAATATAGTGAAGCATTACAAGCGTACAGCAAATGAGTTTCACCATAGCAGCAACCAGCTAACAAAGGTCACCAAATCCAAATGTAAAGCAAAGGGCAGGCTATGCCACAAGAAAAGGCATGGAACAAAGAGGCACAATATCCAGCGAGTGTGAGTTGTGAGAAAAATTGTTCCCAAATAGTTAATAGATGTATAGAGGATAGCAACCTGAATGTAAGCTTTAGCACATACCTGAAATTCACAAGCTACAGATCGCAACAAAGACACTGAAATGTCAACTGTAAGTGACATTTTCCTCTCCTTCACTGCGAACAGAAAAGACAGAACTTCGCGGGAAAACTAGACATAAGAATCGGGTTATAACATTAGTTAGAATACAGTAGATACAATAAAAGCAGTACAAAGAGGGGGGAAAGTAAGGGCAAAGATCACCTTGTAAGCTCGATCCTTTAACAAAGGCGATTTAAAATACTCCTTTATGGATAAGCCACAGAAAGAATGCACTAAATTTTCATCAAAACGCTCTACTTCTCTAAATAATGAAATGGTGCATCTACCCAGATTTGTGGCGAGCACTCTGTGCAACTTCTCATACGCGTTGGCATCTAAAATCCTGCAAGGTACCAAATAACCAGATTGCACAGAGTTAAAGGAGATGATCTCAAAAGTCAAATTATTTTCTGAATTGGACTCGAAAATGAATCTGAATTCGCAGGACAAAGTTCATCTCATACTGACCTGAACCAGGGTTTGACCTCCTCGAGCAGCAGCAGGACTGTCCTGTACCGGTCACTGTCCACTTCCTGACCCATCGCTACACACTTGAAGATCGCCGCAACAACCTCCACCACGACCATCGCAAGCTCCGTCCCTCCGTGCTCAGCCTTCGCCTCCGGCAAGCACCGGCGCTTCCTGGAGCTGGAATTTGATCCCCCAAGATTCGCTAAAACCCTAAACCCATGGGCATACGCAATTTCGTACAAACCCCAAGTTTCTAAACAGTAAATCATCCTGAGCCTCTGCAGTTGCACGGTGTGAGGCTTGCAAGCCAACTGGGTGGAGACCAATTCCAAGCAATCCAAACAGAGCTCGTAAGTTCGGAACAAATCGTCAGCGGATTCACGAGATTCCCGGTCGGGATTCGCGACGGAGAGGCGCTTGGGTAAGAGAGATAAGGATTTGTTGAGAAAAGGAAGAAATTGCTTGGCAAGGGATCGTACGGCTAGGGTTCTGTCTTGCTTACGAGGGGTTGAGAGATCTGAGAACGATTGGAGGTGCTCGGAGAACAAGGAGAAGACTTTTCCGGCGTCGGTGTCGCCGGAGGATTCAACGAGAGAGAGAAGACGAACCTCATCTCTGGACGCCATTTTCGAATTTCCCAAGGATTGTTCAGTTCCCGCTAATCGAAAACTTAAAGGGGTCTTGTTCTAAGATCTCTGTCTATTCATTTATTCATTTAAAAAAAAAACATTTCTACAAAAAATACTTTTGGCATCCAAAACCAAAACTATTTTTTAACATAAGATTTAAAAATATATTTTTTAGCATTATTATTTTACGAAAATATCGAACTTAGTGTAATAGAATTTATTTGTTATATAGTATTTGAAATAATATAGAAATATAATTAAATTAAACGTAATATCATAAAGTATTACCATTAACTTTTTATTCACATATCGTAATTCTCTTGTTGGATATTTGACAACGACACAATTAAGATACTAAAATATGTTTTAAGAGTAATGGAATTATTGTGATAATATATATAACATAATGTAATGTGTAACAAAAAAACAATGTACATGTTAAAATAATTTGAGACAATATAAAATTAAAACCAAAGCGTTGTTCGTTTATGTCTTCTCTCCTTTATCTCAGGTTCTCCTGTTCTGCGGATCTGCACACACTAACCTGATCTTGTTCCTCTCTGCAAGCCTCTGTATCAAACAGAGGATCCGAGCTTCATGTTCGCCGATTCTGTTTTGTTCTTGATCCGTAGATTCTGGTTCAGCTTTCTCGACCGTGAGATTCGTGTTCTTGGTGATGAGCGCTGGCTCTGTCAAAACGGAAGAGCTGGACTTCTTGTGGAACAAGTAAGCAGAATCCGATGGACTGCTCTGTCCTAAAACCTCAGAAAGGGAACACATGAGAATAACGGTCGGGCGTTAGAATCAGATGACATCCATAAAACCCATTATTCTTCTCCTCGTCCTGGAGCGAAATCCGGATTCTTGGCTCGTGGACCGCAGCAGTTCAGATCTCGAGCTCTTTGACTTGCAGGACAAGGCAGAGAATGGAACTGATTCTGACTCTGAAATCTTCTGAGAACAGGTGATGATTGATGCGGTTTCAGAAACGATGTCTGAGCCGTACGAATACGTTCCTGGTCCGTGCGTTCGATATCTCCAATCGTTGGGATTGGATTCAAAACGATATATAGTCGATCAAAATATCGAGTCTATGACATCCAATAAGATATAAAAAAAAATACTCTTCAATGCAAATATTAATCGAAAATTGCCACAAGGGAACCAAAATTTTTCCAGGAGGTCAGAGTAAAAGGAGAATACAAAAAAGGGTCGCTGTCAAATCCAACGGTGATAGAGGAGACCTGGGAGGATCTAATTGACAATTTTGATTTATATGGGGCGAAATGTGAGAAAGAAGCGCTAATACAGGGAGTTATATGTGAAGCAAGTAGCAACAATGGAAGCTACACAAATGACTAGAGACGGAAGAAGAGTGGCGTTCAAGAGCATACCCTGTCCTAAGTAACCTGCGGCAGTGATCGTCGCGTCGGCGATCACCCGAGCTATCGTTCCTGCTTCCGTCGACAGCAATCCTCCGTTATACGTCCCTCGGGAAAGCCTCGACGACATTACCCGCGACAGCAGCGATAAGTTGACGCCTGAAAACATATCAGAAAAGAGTTTGAATCGTTGATCTTTTTCATCACCCGGAGAAGGATTTCGGGTTAGAAGTTTTTTCGGGCGTCAGGGTTTTACCTTCGAGAACCTCTGCAGCGACAAACATGACGAGTCCCGAGCAAACGTACTGCGGAACCGAGTAAGGAACAACTACATGGAAGCTGAGAAGTATCCCGACGCAGACCACAATCTCGGATACCAACAGAATTTGTCTGGACAAAGATATATCAGTTCGAGAAACATCGACGATAAAAACAGATTGAGAGGTGGTTTGAGGATCTTACCGGTCTTCGAACATGTTGCTAATGTAGCTTCCGACGATTATGTTAACGGGTAGAACAGTGAGGCCGAGACAAGCCAGGAAGGTTGCAACGGAGCTCGTCGACCATCCGAAGTAGTACGAGGTGACGACACTCGATTCTGCGAGAAGAATCTCCATGGCGTACTTAAGCATGAAGTAAATCAATAGCTGAACCTGAAAGAAATTAAACAGCAAAACCGAAAGGAAACATCATTTCTTATATTCGAGTCGGGAAAAAGCTTCAAATTCATCCAGTTCGAGGATTCTTACCTTAACCGAAGGAGTGAGTAATCGATAAGCGGATGCAATGGAGTTGGCAGGTTTTCGGGAATGTAGTAGAGATTCTTCGCTTTCATCGAGCTCGTCTTCATCCTTTTCGGTTTCCTCGGCAGTAATCAGAAGCGGCTGTTTAAGACCTTTCTCCAGATTTCCATTTTGAACAGCTTCTGCCATTTTCAAGAATAGATCAAAGATTAAAACATCATAATCGAAGCTACAAGTATCGTCTTCGGGATCTTTCCCCGAAACAACAGTTTACTTCGGGTAACCAAACAGGGGAACGGGTCCCGATTAACCAAGATTTACACCTTCATACTCATCATTCTTGATCATCGTATCATGATCTGTGCATGAACATTTCCGTTTTTCTATACAAACGACACGATATATATTGACATACCGGAATTAGTCTCCTCGGTAGTATGATTCTCCTCGACGTCACGGGCTGGTTCTCGAAACGAAACGACCAACCAGACCAAGTAAATAAGCCAAGCCACTGCCATGACCCAACCGGGCAAAGTATCCTGGTTGAAGGTAAGCTTGTAAATCTTGAATTTGGTTTGAAGCAAACCAGCAAGAGCCGGACCACACGCCATCCCGAGAGCACTTGCGCTGACAAAACCCGCAGAAGCCTGCATACGGATTTTCAATGGCACACAGTCGCTAATATATCTCCTGTTAACTGCTCTCGCTGATCCGAACCTGAAATGTCGGTAGAAATGATGATCAAACTGGCCACATGTAACAAGTTTGAAGAAGTCGGAAAGGAATTTACCCGCAAAAAAGACGGCCAATCAAGAGAACGGAAATTGAATTGAAGTCGTAAGCCAAAGCATATAACAAGTTCCCGACAAAGAGGACGATACTGCTGAAAATGAGCGGTTTGAAGTAGGATTTATTGGACCAGGCGCTGAAGTAAACCGAAGAGAAAAGTTGAGCGACTGCCATAGCGCCAATCACGATACCGCAAACCGTCGCTGCAGCTCCGAGGCTCATGGAATAGTCATCGGCTGTAGGGACGACGATATATGTATTAACCATATAGAGGAAAGTGTTGGCCAAGTTCAGTAGGAGAGACATGAAATGGTATCTCCCATCCTCATCATCCGTCGCCTCGTCTCGGGAAGTCGGTAGCTCTTCTTCTTGCATGATAAGAGCGTGTTGACCCATGAACTTAAGGAAGTTCGTCGATCGTGTTAGCCTGTCTACAGCCGCTTTAATCGAGTCCACCACCGGGTCCTGCGGAAAAATCCGTGCCGAGAATTACTGGTAATGGCCAGATATATCGAAAAAGATGGTTGCATAACCATAATCGTGTCATTTATCTGCATGCCCGACTGATGATCGATCATCTTATTACCTGAAGAGGAAGAACGGGCTGATCGTAAATCGACAAGTAACTGCCTTGATTGTTTTGAAGTTCGTGAAGATTGCGGGATATGGCCCCGACAACTGCCTCGAGACCCTGAAAAGTCCGATATGATCAAACGGTAAAAGCGAAAATTTTTACAACATAAAAATCTTAAACTTACCACATGTTTGAACACTTGCTGCAACTGAGAGTAAGGATGATCAGCACGAGTCTTCACGTAGTAATCCGTGAATCTATAACCGAACCTCTTATCGAATTTCTTGAGTATCTTACGGATACCGATAGCGTTCATCTCAACGAAGAACAGGAGCTTGAGGAGATCTTGCCCGGCGGCTCTATACGCCTCCCGAAGGTCAGTCATCTGAGATATGTCGGGCTGATCTCGGAGAGATTCATGCCATTCCCTTAGTTTCTCTAACCTACTCGCCAGCAGTCCTTGCTGTTCCATTATGAAAAGCACGATTTTCTCGATCTGAAACAGATACATACATCCATGATCATGTAGACATATATATATATATATATATAAAAAAAGAGTTGATTGTATATGAATTCAGACATGAAAGGAAACAACACCTGATTATCCAGCATCCTGGAGAAATCTTTAAGAACATGGCGACGATCTAATGATCCTACATCGATTTGGTGAGTATATTGCTTCACTTTCTTCTTCATCAATTTGTAATTTATGTAATATCTACAAAAAGGGAAAGATGAACAATCTTTAACTTGAATCAGAACTTTTTAACTTGCGAAAATTAGATCGAATGTCGTATTATTGGAATATTTACCCTTGCCATTCTTCAATACACCTTTCCTTGAGCTTCTTCCCAAACCCAACCATCTTCTGCACCAAAACAAAAAAAAAACAGAGAATCAGAGGAGAAAAAACCTTCTATCACAGTATATATATGTGTGTATATATATATATGCTTAAAACCGACAAATCACCAGAAACTCAAGATTCGATAGAGAAAACTTGCAATACAAGTGTGTGTGTGTGTGTCTGTATATGTAGATGTAGGTGTATGCAATTGCTAAGGATTGATTTTTACCAAAAAAAAAATTGCTAAGGATTGATTTTGATCTGCCTGATCCTTGCTTTCTGGATTTAGCGAGAGTCAATCTCAAGCAAAGCAGGGAGAAATGTCAAATCAAGCAAAATCAGACATCCTTAATTCTTGGATGATTCAGAATCTGGAGAAACAGAGGGAATATAACATTATGAATAAAACAGTGTTCTAAATTACGGCTAAAATTTTGAACTTTTTAAGAAACGGCTCTCGTGATCTCCCCTGCGAGATACACGTGATGAATAGTGTTTGATGTTACGTTCTTCCGTTTGTTTGCCGAGAAAATGAGGAAATTTTCAAGAAGAAAACGAGAACCGCCCCAGCTGGGGTTTCCCTTTTTCTCAGCCCTTTCCGACATTTTCCTGGCTACCAAACAGAACCCAGAAAATTAAAACTCAACCAGAAAGACGCCCAATTCTCATAAATTTCGCTCCTTTTCTCAGCAAGCAAACAGGAAAACAAAATAAAAAAACAAAAACAAAAACTTTCGCTTGATTCAAGTCCAAAAATCACGGCATTACCCAAAAATGAAGTGACCAAGGAAATGACGATTGACCAAGGAACTCGAACCCCAGAAGCTATGCCCTTCGAAAATCATCGAGATCACAAAACATATGTGGGTGTTTGTATACACGCATCTATGAACGAAAAAGAACAGAAGAAACAACGAAACAGGCGAAGAAGACAGAGACACACACACACATATATATATATACACACCTCAAAAGATGATCACGAAAATCCCAGAAGCGAAAGGAAGAGGGAAAATTAAAAATTTTAATAAATTTTTCAGCATTTATTTTCCTCGCAGCCAGAAAGATTTTCTCTACCGTAGAATAGGAATTGAGGCTGAAAAATAAGGTGGATTCTCTTACCCTAATTTCACCGAGGACCCAAATCGAATTTCCGCTGCAGAATTCAGAAGAGACAAAAAGAAATTGAGACTCAAGAGAAGAACTAAAAAAAAAAAGACAGCGGCTTTGAGGAGCTATGGAAACACGTGTTAAATACAAACAGTTATATGAGAGCGAGTGGGAAAGAGGGATGCATGTGGGGACACTGCAACAGAGGTTTTTTTTTTTTTTTGTGCGGTCTTAGAATTCTTATACCTAAAATGCCCATGTATTCAACTCATATTTAATAATATTCCCTTTTCAAATGAGATTTTTTTCTTATAATCCGATGTGCCATTTAATCTAATTACATCTTTAGAACGGTCCAAAAAGTCCGGATGAATCTTTTTTCCCATATTTTGATTTGAATCCATGATAAGTCAATGAGATTTTATTAGTACATATATACCAAAAATTAATAAATATGTATATAATTCAAGTATCCCAAACATAATAATATAGACCATTATATTTTATATTTTTTAATATAATTCGAAAGTTTATCGAGTATTTACATCTCTACAAAGATCGAAAAAGTTGAAATGAATCTCTAGAAGACTTAAACCGGAATCGGGAAGAAATTTATATATAATTCCACAAGTGTTCTATATCTTTCCACACTTATGTGAATGCATATATATAATTCATCGGTTCAATTCTCATTTTTAAATTGTACGATAATTTGTTTTTATACACATATGTATCCTAAATAGTTATCCCATTCACATTTCACACATCAGAAAAAGGAAAAACCTTTTGCATAGATATATCCGTAGTAGAAATCTTGCCATATAATATTTATAATTGTTTATATAGTTTTGGATACTGTGATGAAAAAAATGCATGAAATATGGATATAAATAGCATTCAGGTTTCTTTTTCAAACATAAAAGGGAAGAACGAATGGACATGAATCAATAATCGTGATGGGAACATGGAGAATATTTTCGGAATTGATAAAGAAAGTTTCCTTGTTAATTATAATTAAAATATATAATTTCTATTTCTAGGAAAATTATCTGTTCAAAATTATAGGGGTTTTATTGTAATTTAAAGAAAATACAATTGCGTAAAAGTTTATTGCAAGGTTATTTTTTACTTGAAATAGTAAAAATCGGAACAAAAGATTCGGACATGGGAGAGTGGCATGGAATGGTTCGTTGATTCCCTCCTCCCTCTCCTTTATTAAAAAAAAAAAGTTCAGACAAAAATGGCGACCTATTTGGTAACCGCCTCTTTCCTGTTTTTTTTTTTTTTTGTTGGTGGTTTTTTTTTCCTGTAATTTCTTCGAAAAACAAAATTGTTGATTTTTCAGCGAAGGACCATTAAAATCACAGCCACGCAATGGTTTCTTCTTCGCTTCGACTCGGATCAGCGATTATCCCCGTGAATTCGACAGTCTCGCAGAGCAATTCTAGGGTTAGGGTGAATTTTTGGGGATAATTACGATTTTTAACGGAATCGATCGGAAATCATCGGTCACTAATAGCGAGCGTTGCCGTAATTCGACGGTAGTTAGTTGAAGGTATGTTTTTGTCTGCTCTTGCGGCTCTTTTTCTTTTTGGTGCTTGAAGACTCGAATGAAGTTTCCTGTGCTCATTTCCTTTATGTGAGTATCTGAAATTAGATATTGCATGTTGCGGAGTTTGATATGCATTAAATTCAATAGGTGTTTCAATGATAACGTCTTGTCGATGTATTATTATTATTATTATTATCTTATGTGCTATTGTCTTTCGATCATCTAAAAGAACAATTAAGGTTGCCCATTTGGAGATTGTATATCGAGTTTCCTATTGCGCTGTACTGCTGTTCGCTTCCGGTTTCTTGTGTTGTCATTCTTGCTAGGCTAATTACAAACTCTAGTTCTATTTCAAGTATCAGCCAATTTTTTTTAGGAATCAAGGTTTCCTTCATGAGTTTAGGTTCTGCTCTAAACTGTAATTTGGTCTCGTGTTATTGCAAGTTGGGTGCAAGTTTTAATACTAATTTAGTTCAGGCTGGAGCCATTCAGTTGGTATCTTCTGAATTGTAATTTAACTTGCTCAAATGGAAGTTTGGATGCGGAAAGCTAAGGAACATTAGTGTTAATTGTCATAAGTTAAGTAACTTGCTCAAATGGAAGTTTGGATTTAGCTGTCTGTTATAAGTTAAGGAGCATTAGTGTTGTTTTACGAAGACCATCGAAATGAGGATATCTTTTAGTTCAATAAATTGTGGCTTTTTTTCCCACCATTTGCAGATCATTGTCATCAACATAGTTCCTAAATAGTAAATATTGTTCAGTTATTGGATCAACTGTGCTGAGTATATTCCTCTACATTTTTTTTTTGTTTTTGGGTTTCTCTAGGTACAAGGTTTTGTCTACTGAACTTGAGCCTGGGATCTTGAAGTTATTCCATAAACTAGTCCTGTTTTTGTCAAGATTTGGCTTGTCGTCAAGAAATTGGAGGATTACGTGTAGGGGAACCTCATGGGCTCGGATAAGCATCCTGTTAGTTTATTAGATACCTTCAAAATGGAGAGGGTCAGAATAATTCTAACCCACACTTACCCTTATCCGCATGAGCATTCTCGCCATGCAGTGATAGCTGTGATTTTGGGTTGCCTATTCTTTATTTCATCCGACAATATGCATACCCTCATAGAAAAATTAGACAACAACTTCAAGTGGTGGTCAATGTATGCATGTTTGCTTGGCTTTTTCTATTTCTTTTCATCTCCATTCATCGGGAAGACTATCAGACCAAGTTATTCAAACTTCAGTCGGTGGTAAGTGAAATTATCTTTTCTTTTCCAGATAGGTAAAAAGTCACTTTTCCAACTTAACTATTCTTTTTTTAACCAAATATTTTTTTTTTTATTTCTTGTTTTGGTCTGTAGGTACATTGCTTGGATTTTAGTTGCAGCCATTTACCATCTTCCGAGTTTTCAGTCAATGGGTTTAGATTTGAGAATGAATTTGTCCCTGTTTTTAACTATATACATATCATCCATAGTCTTTCTTCTTGTCTTTCATATCGTTTTTCTTGGCCTTTGGTATATTGGTCTTGTTTCTCGTGTGGCTGGAAAGCGCCCAGAGATTTTAACCATTCTTCAGAATTGTACTGTAAGTACGCTATTCCCAATTCTATACATCAATGCCACTTAATTGTTTAAAAGTAAATTCTTTTCAAGTGATTTTTTTAATTCTTTTCTTAACGCCTCTCTGTCTTGTAGGTTCTTAGCATAGCATGCTGTGTGTTTTATAGTCATTGCGGTAACCGTGCTATTCTGAGGCAACAACCTCTTGAAAGAAGACACTCTAGGTGGTTACCGTCTTGGAAAAGTGAAGACAAGCATAGTACATGGCTTGCGAAATTCATTCGTATGAATGAGCTGAAAGACCAAGTCTGCTCATCATGGTTTGCCCCAGTTGGATCTGCAAGCGATTATCCACTGTTATCCAAATGGGTCATTTATGGGGAGGTGCACTATTTCGAAATTGGTTCCGACTTTTATGCTGTTGAATAGTTTATTTGACCACTAGTTAATTTCTCTGTTCTCTGTCCAAAAACTCCTTTCGTTCCCTTCTTGCCTATCTGCAGTTGGCTTGCAACGGGCCGTGTCCTGGTTCATCTGATGAAATTTCTCCTATCTACTCTTTGTGGGCAACATTTATTGGTCTTTACATTGCTAATTATGTAGTCAAGAGATCAACAGGGTGAGTAGTATATTTAACGTAACAATTCAACTGAAAGGGTTCTGCATCAAAAACTGAACTGTATCTCTATTGTTGCTGTTCTCTGTCTTCTTGTTTGATTTACTTTGATGCCCTCTATACTACTTAGGTGGGCTCTTACACACCCTCTTTCCGTTGATGAACATGAGAAGCTGAAGAAGCAGCAAATGAAGCCAAATTTTTTGGACATGGTTCCTTGGTATTCTGGGTATGCTACATGCTAACTAGTCTTCTTCCTTGCTGAATTTATTAGTATTATTGTTATTATCTATATAATAATATTTGTGAGAGGAAAGAGCATTTGAAGGGGAAATCTTGACTTGGCAAATTATACTGCAGAACATCAGCTGATTTATTCAAAACTGTTTTTGACCTCCTGGTATCAGTGACAGTGTTTGTTGGACGCTTTGATATGCGAATGATGCAGGTGTGCTTCCATAGTTTATGATGTGACAAGATCTTTCATTTCTTGTTCTGCAGTTGATTTTACGAGCTGCTTCTTTTCCCTCCTTTTTTTATTCCTTTAGGCTGCAATGAGCAAGGCTCATGGTGGAGCTGAGAAGAGGGAGGTTTTATATGATCACTTGAGTGAAAAAGAAGATATCTGGTTTGATTTCATGGCAGATACTGGTGATGGTGGAAACTCATCATATGCTGTTGCAAAACTTCTTGCTCAGCCTTCTATCAAAGTCCCGTCAGGCGATGGGTTTCTATCTCTTCCACGAGGTCGCTTGCTTCTTATTGGGGGAGATCTTGCGTATGTCGCCCATGAGTTAGCCATCATTCTTCACATGTTCTCTAGCTTTGTTAGGTCGTAAATGTAACTAAATGGACACTATTGATGATTTATTGCAGGTACCCCAACCCATCGGCATTCACCTATGAAAAGCGTCTCTTTTGCCCCTTTGAGTATGCTCTCCTGCCTCCTCATTGGTATAAAAGTGACTCTATTGCTGTCAACAAGCCTGAATTACCCGATGGAGTATCTGATCTGAGGCATTACGATGGCCCTCAATGTTTTCTTATTCCGGGAAACCATGGTTGGCCTCAGTTCTTGGCTTCATTTATCCTACTATGATTTCTTTCACAGAGACATGCATATCTACCTGTTTTCTGCTGGCATTGCATCTGACTAGAGTGTTATTTTTGGTAGACTGGTTTGATGGGCTCCATACTTTCATGAGGTATATATGTCACAAGAGTTGGTTGGGTGGATGGTTAATGCCCCAGAGGAAAAGCTATTTTGCTCTGCAGTTACCTAAAGGATGGTGGGTATTCGGTTTGGACCTGGCACTTCATGGAGATATTGATGTCTACCAGTTCAAATTCTTTTCTGAATTAGTTAAAGAGAAGGTAGCTTCTGTGTTTTTTCTTTTTTTTTCTCCATATTTCTACTCTGGGAGATGTTTAGCTAAATGCACTGCCTTGAAATTTTATTGCCTTTGGGTGGGTTGACCTCTTATTTTCGTATTTTTATTCATATCCGTTTGCATTAGGTTGGGGAGAATGATGCAGTGATCATCATCACACATGAACCGAATTGGCTGCTTGATTGGTACTGGAATGATGTTACTGGGAAGAACGTGAGGCATCTGATATGTGATTTCTTGAAAGAAAGGTGTAAACTTAGAATGGCAGGGGATTTGCATCACTATATGCGCCATTCTTGTACTCAATCAGATGGACCTGTCCATGTTCAGCATCTCCTTGTTAACGGTTCTGGTGGTGCCTTTCTGCATCCAACTCATGTGTTCCGCAATTTTTCGAAGTTTTATGGCGCTACCTACGAAAGCAAGGCTGCCTATCCTTCTTTTGATGATTCAAGCAGGGTATCTTGTTGGGTTATCTCACTATTCACCAATTGACTTGTTTCATTTACAATCAGATATTTTATGGCTGTTTGCTGTTGTTTACAGATTGCTTTGGGGAATATATTGAAGTTTCGAAAAAAGAACTGGCAATTTGATTTCATTGGTGGCATTATATACTTCATCTTGGTCTTTTCCTTGTTCCCCCAGGTGTGTTTCTACTCAGTTTTCTGAGCTTTTGGAGTTCTTTTCTCTTTTCTGGGCATTGCTTTTTGTGCCTTTGGTTGTTTCTTCTGCTTGTAATGCTAGTCTTTAGAAGATTTTCAGTTCTGAATTGTAGAGCTGGCGAACAAAATTTTCAGATCTGACATTGTTGAAGCGTTTTTTGGCTAAAGTCTGCACACTAACACTCGAGACAATTGTTTTTACTATATGCCATGAAACGTTTTTTACTTAGGTTTTGCTTATTGCAAACATGTTTTTACGTGAACCGTCTTTTAGGCTCAAAAGAGAGTCCCTTACCTCATTCCTCATGGGTTTCAGTGTAAGCTAGGTCACATCTTGCGGGAGGACTCCTTCTCTGGTCTCTTGGGGAGTTTTGCTGGCACAGTGTGGAGTGCCTTTGTGTATGTTGTGGAGCAATCTTATGTGTCATTGGCCGGTGTCCTTATGTTGCTGATAACTGCGATTGCGTTTGTCCCCTCGAAAGTATCTCGGAAGAAACGGATGGTAATTGGAATTCTCCATGTTTCTGCACACCTGACTGCAGCTTTGATTCTTATGTTGCTGTTGGAACTGGGCATAGAAATGTGTATTCAGCATAATCTGCTTGCAACTTGCGGTGAGTTTCTTTTCCATGTACTATTGTTTGGTATCACTCTAGCAGTATTCTGTTGCACTCTGAACCCAAAAAATGTGTTTTCTGTTACAGTTATTGTTGAAACTGAGTTGACAAAACTAGGTTTTTGTGATCCAATGTTGGAATTGTTTTTATGACATCACTACTTTCACTATATAGGGTATCATACGTTGTATCAGTGGTACCGATCAGTGGAGAGTGAGCACTTTCCTGACCCTACAGGTCTTCGAGCCCGTATTGAACAATGGACGTTTGGCTTGTATCCAGCCTGCATCAAGTATCTTATGTCAGCTTTTGATGTTCCTGAGGTAATGTTTACATCCCACTCTTCCAACAATGCAATGTTATCTTTTTCTGCTTAGAAAAACAAAAACCCGTCGGCGAAAGCTGATGCAGAGTACTTAAAAACATCAGGTGATGGCTGTCACCCGGAGCAACATTTGCAAACACGGGATGGAGTCGCTTTCTCGGACTGGAGCCGCCATCTATTATGCGTCTGTCTTCCTCTACTTCTGGGTCTTCTCGACCCCCGTGGTATCTTTGGTTTTCGGAAGTTACTTGTACATCTGCATCAACTGGCTCCATGTACACTTTGACGAAGCCTTCTCCTCACTCCGGATAGCCAACTACAAGTCTTTCACCCGTTTCCACATCAGACGTGATGGAGACATCGAGGTTTTCACCCTTGCAATTGACAAGGTGAGAAGCCGTCTCTACTTCAGCACACTCGCTGCTGAAATAACACAGTACATGATATGATAAACTACCCTCTCCGCTGCTATGAAAGCAACAGTCAACTCGGTCATTTATCATCGTTAGGAGAAGGAAAAGCAAAACCTGTGACACGGATACAACTAAAAACGAGTTTTTTTTTTTTCTGTCAACTTGCAAAAGTGACTTGTGGAGCTCTTTGGTTTGGTGAATGGATACAGGTACCAAAGGACTGGAAGCTGGATAGAGATTGGGATTCAGAGCCAAAGCAGGCGGGGAAGATGAGCCATGAGAGAAGATATCCGAGCAAATGGTGTGCCACAACAGCACAGCAAGACCCTGTAAACACTGTAAAGATTGTGGACCGTTTTGTTATCCGTAAATCCGGGAGAGAAACCTGAGAGGATCAGTTCTTCGCTTACGGAGCTCTGTCCTCTGATCCTTTGTATCAAGTAGATAACCTCAGATGGTTCGCCTTTTTCCCACATCTTTGCTCGTGGGAAAAAAGGAAAAATGCCATATGGTAGCCTTTAGTTGGAGAAGCTTATATGCTTTAAAGGTTCTGTTTCAGTTTTCAATCTTTTTAGGACTGCAATTTGACATTTTGACCCGTGGAGAAAACATTCAAGAAAACGTTAAAAAGAGTGTTCTTCATATCTGAATTGGAACAACATCGCCTATTTATCCCGTACAACAAATTCATGTAATCTACTTCAGGAGCCCCCTTCCCTCTCAGCTATAAAGAAGACAAAAAAGGAGGAAAAAGAAAAGAAAAGGAAATGGGAGAAGTTCAGAAGGTACATTAGGTCTCACCGGGTTGGTGCTTTCTTTCTTTTTTAATTATTATTATGAAGAAGGGGCGTATTCTTTGATAGCTGTAGCTAGCCTATCCCTATCTTCTGCAGTCTTTGTCCTTATCAAAAACGTTCTTGGAGTAACACTATTGCTGCCGGAATCATCCTGCATAAACCAAACACGAGACATGAAAACCAGAACAGAAGATATCATAAAAACATACAAGACAGTATCAGCATCAGCAGAGGAATGTGTGTTTTTACTGAGGTGTGGAATATTGCAACTAGGGAGTTCTTCTGGGCATTCGTCTTGATTCCAGGATACAGTAGTGCATTCAGAAGCAATTTCCCAACCTGTCAAAAGGGTAAATCCTTTATAGATGATATGGATGTATCAAGAAGAATTCATGTTTCTGCCATGAACAAAGTATCAGCACAAACTGAATCTTACGTCATTTCTGATAATAATCGTTGGTTTCGATTCTTTCGTGCCCTTGTCAACGCTCTCTTTGCACTTAATACAGAGATTCCCAGATCCTTTATCTTTCCATGTATCTTTATCTTCCGGGTCATTAGACTGCACATGTTCACAAAAACACAGGTAAAACAAATCTATTGGAGTTATCAGACGAACAGATCATCCTGATATATTAGAGAAAACGATGAAAACAAATCCTTTCCAAGCATTGTGTTATGAACATTGGTGGAATCAAGGATGAAGATACACTGGAAAGCAAGCAGTTCAATCCAAACTAGTCATTTCCCTCTTCAAGGGAAAAATGTCAATGAGACCAATTGTGATGTTTAGTTCATTTAATGTTATATATGCAAATGATTTGTTTTTGCTACATATAGAATTGATTATTGATGCATCCCCTCATCTCATCCTGGCTGTTTATCATAAATCACTTAGGTAGGGTTATTATGCTGACGGACAGAAGCTGGAACAAGTAGAATATTTGGACCATTCCTACTGAAGAAACTGAGGAAACTATAGATCCAGCCGAATAAATAAATATCAAACAACTTTCAGCTAGCAATACCTTGACATAAAGCTTACACTTGACCTGATGAACCAAAACAATACCCTTTTCTTCAACCTTCTTGACAGATGGGCTGCTCGGTTGAGGTGGCTCGTCTTCTGATGAGTCAAAAAGCAATTAAAATGAAATATTCCAGGGATTATTCATGGAAAATTTCTGTTGGGTAAGCTGAACTTTGAGTAAGACAATAGATCAAGATTATGGAGGAGCAATCCAAATCCTAGTTATCGAACAATGGATAGCTGATTGTCATTACATTTTCCCGTTCCCATAAAATTGGCGGATACACGCACTGTTTCTTAAGTGGCACAAACAAAGTATAATCCCATCATCAGAACAACGCAAGGAAAACAAGTCCCTGAACTAACGAAATGGTCCATCATTACTCTCAAATACAGCGTTAAAATATGTTGAACTGGTAATTTCAGACTTAATCCTTGAAAGGAGAGCGAAAACCAACAGGACAGAAACATAGACTTGAATAGACTTACCACGGTCTGCATCGTCTGGACCATTGCTCTTTACAGTAATGGACACCGGACTTACTAGAAACAGCAAACCAGGTAGTGGAGATTAGATTTATGAGATAACAAATCATCCTAGAGTCTCAAGCTGATCCATCATAAGTCTAATAAACAGGAATGCTCACGAAAAAGAAGATACCTCCAGACATGGACTGGATTTGATTGTTGGAGAATGAAAAAGAATGTTGGCTATTGGAAACTACACCAGAACCAGATTGACCGCTTGAAAATAGGCTAGGTTGAGTGCTGGTGGTCAAACCAAATTGTCCACTGCCGAACAATCCGTTTTGGCTATTGGAACTTAAACCAAATTGGCTGCTAGAGAATACTCCAGATTGGCTGTTCGAGAACAAAGCGGACTGACTACCGGAGAAAAGTCCAGACTGACTGTTCGATGCAGATGCTGCACCTGTGGTTGAGTTATTTGTAACAAAAAACTTCTTATCAGGAAATAATTTAACATCGTTATTCTTGATCTCAGGCACCTTCTCTGTTCCATGAGATTCAGAAGATTGATTCCCCCCATCCCGACTATTTGCTTTTAGCCAATTAACCACATCACTAAACCTTTCCTGCATGAGAATTGAGACAAAGTAGAACTAATGAGCAAACAAGGAAACAAAATTATATCACCCAAGAACCAAGAGATTCAAGTAGCTGATTTCCCGTGCTAAGAATCGGTATTGAAACTCATGCCATAACAAAAAAAATAAGAATGCTGGACAAAATTTACGAGAATGTTTGATGCATGCGCAAGATAGTCACGCAGCCCATCTTCCCAAAGTTCATCAGGGTGATTTTTCAGCTGCATTTGCACCCAACTGTTTAACATCATCAAAAACATAAATAGGTTATTAGGGAAGGTGTACGACATCAAGCATCCATCAGAATAAGGTGCATATTTTTGGTAGAGAGTAGCATATAGGAGTGCATATAACCGTACTGAAAGTGATTCTGTAATGAAATCTTTTTTGGAAAACATTGTTCACCTTGCAAATTGATTATTGAGAGCCCTCACATGCTTCCTAGCTGACTCAGCCCTCTGCTTATCCAATGTTGCTGTTGTTGGTGAAGGCTTCTGTGGTGGTTCCACACTTTGAATGCCAAACAGGGATCCTCCCACAGACTTTTTATGCTGAAACTGTAAATCGACATTGAAATTTATCCAATAACCAACACTTCATTACCCAATACTAGTACTAAACGGAAGACAACATCGATAACAAGGTGCATGACAAAATCTCAGGAACAAAACCTTATCAGTAGGAGAGAATAGTGGCTCCTTCCCGTTAATAAACCGAAAAATCAGTAACAAAATTTGTAATGATCAAAAGAGTAGAGTCATGACATTTCTACTACCGAGATTACATTCATATCTAAGGCTTATTCTGAAAAACATGAGTATGGAATCATAGGTAACGCCATGACAATAAGTCCTAGATAAAGCAAAACATGAGCACGAGGCCATGGACATGATTCTACATAAAAAGAGTATACACATCGACGAACTAAGCCCAAGATTAAAGAATTCCTTTGTCGTGGCTTCAAAGCAAATCATCGCTTTACAGAGAAGAAAAGCCAAATAATGGCTAAGAAGGACCTGAGAAACTCCATATACCGAATCCCGTATCATTATGGACTAATGCCCACAGGTTGTCGCCAAAAAAAATTACCTGCCTTTAGGCATTTCACCGGAAAATCAATTAAAACCGCGAAAAAAGTAACTCGCTTCAGCATCACCACCTATACTAAACAAATAATCATAAAACAATTGCTAATCAACCTGCAAGAATCGAAAAAGTCCCCAAATTTTCTCTTGTGGTCAATTTCCGGTGACCAAAAGGAGAAGATTCAACGAATACAGCTACATTATTCATTCGCACAACCGGATTCGACACGAGATTTACCCGACTAAATCGGAATCTATAATACACGAAAGAAAAACCGGAGAAAGGCACGGAAGGAGAGAAGCTTACCGGAGAGTCATTCGCTGTTGCCGGAAAAGTGTCGGAGACGGCGGCGCGTTTCGTACCCCTCATGATCGACCAGCAGCTTTTGCCGACGGAGAGAGAAAAAAGGCCAAAGAGAGAAGCTGCGAAAAGGGGAAACCCCAAGTAGGGTTTTTGCTTTCCCTTAAATTAATTGGAAAATTGGCGCAGAGAGATCAAGAATCTGAATCTCCCGACAAATTAATTCTTCCTAATTTGTTTCTCATTTTCAGCATATTTAAGATTAACTCAAATCCAAAGAAATTGAAGAAAGAGGATCTGAAAAACACGGGAGAGTTAAATAAATAAAATATTTAGCATCATATTTAAAATCTGATTTCTATGTGTGTGTGTAAGAGAAGATTACAGCGTATTTTCCTTAATAATGTAGGGATTCAATGTGTATTTAAATACATATATAAAGAATACGTCTCCAAAAAAAAAGATTAAAAAATAATGTAGAACTACAGCATTATATTCTTTCTTGATCACTATGTTTAGAAAAAAAACTATTTCTACTTTGTAAAACATTTATTTTGGCTATATATTTCACGCCACATGAATAAAATAATTATTTATCCAAAATATCCTTATCTATTATATAAAAAATTGTTATTTTTAAATGTATAAAACGTTTAAACATTATTAATTATGGATAGTTTTAGAAAAAAGCATTAAAAATTATATAGAAAATCTCAAAACGTTATTTATTTTGAAACAAAAATATTATTATAAAACGTTATCTAATTTGAAACGTAGGGAGTATGTTCCAACAAATAAATTATAAAAGCATTGAATTGATTTCCTTTATAAAAAAAAATCACATCAAAGACCCTTTTTTAAGCATATTTCAACAAATTTAATAAAAAAAATGTAAAAAGTCGTTCATTTTGTCCCCTTAAATTTGGTTCCCTTACTCTCATCTGTAACAACGGAAATGGAAGATTCGCCGAAAAAAATATCCAAACAACACAGGAATAAAATTACGAGTAACAAAGGAAAAAACATTCGGATTTTAAGCATGCATGCATGCATGTATCGACGAAAGGCCAAACCCATCCAAAACGACGACGAGGCCAATGTGCTTACAGTTTTAACATTAAAAACCCAAATAATAAAAAGAAAAAAAAAAAGGGAGGCTTTTTTGGCTTCCTTCACTGAATGAGCAGAAACCAGAAATCTTTTGGAGAATAAAAAAACCCTAAAACTTTGAAAGAAAAAAAAAGAAAAGCATTCTATGAAGAAGCTGTAGAAGAGCTTTCACATTATATATATATATATATATAGATAGATGATATTATAGTTCATACCAAGGAAGGAATTTGAAGCATTAAAACACTTCATATGAGCTCCAGGAACAGAGCTTCTTGCTTGCTGGTCAACCCGAGATCGTTCAGAGTCGACTCGCTCTCCCCTTCGCTGAAAGGACGTCTCGGGTATGGCCTCACCTGTCGTTCATCACAATCATTACGAGGTCACAACATTCCGATGTCAATTCATGATCCAAGAATATATATATATATATGTATGCCTTTTGGACGAGAATATGTGCATCATACAATTCGTATAAAAAGCTTTGAGTTGAGCCTTTTTTTAAGTGACGGAAGTTTTTTTTTTACCAGTCTGTAAGTGCCGGGCTTCACCACTCTGCCAATGTCTATAAAATCGAAAAGAGACTGCAAGACAAGAGGCATCGACGGTTTTTTACAGTCAATAATGGAACAGATAAATGCAAACGGGCATTTGAGAGAGAATCAAAAAAGTTTACTTGGAGTTTGTCGGATTTGAGAAAACGGCGGCCAAGGCGGGTGCCATCTGGCATCCTGACAAGAAGGGTCATGGCGTTTTCTTCGTCTGCTGGTGGTTCCCTTGGCAGAGACGCTTCTTTCGCAACTAGTTGTCTCTCCAGCTCCTGCACCACCCAGAATTCCGTAAATGAAAAAGAGGAAAGAATTGGAGACCAAGCAGGTTTAACAATCACTACTGTCATCAGTGTTTTCCAGACAAGAAAACGGTTTAATAGTAGTCTTTCTCTGTCCAAGTGAAAGGGTCTTGGGAACCATCAGAAACCGAAGACTCCTCAATCATTCATGAAAAAAGGATTAAACCCGGGCTTCAGAAGAGAGTTTTATGTGCAAACATAAGCAGAGCACCTGTTCCTCCTCGAGTTTTCTGCGCGCTTCTTCCTCCTTCCTCTTTTCTTCTTCGAGAGCTGCCATTTTCGCAGCTTCCTCTTCTAACTGACGGGCCTCAGCTTCTCTGATGGCTTTCATCTCTTTCTCTCTGTCAGCTTGAAGCGATGCATTATACTCGTCATCCTGCATGAGTTTAATGGTTCGAGAAAGCTTACTATCACCACTGACACTTGATAAACTAAAAGGATTTCTTCCAGCTATTAATGATCTTTCCAACCTGTTGTTCTCGTATCATTCTCTGAGCTGTCAATGAAGGCGATGGTGGACGTGGTGTCATCATGTGCTGGCGAGATGCATAAGGAAAACTGTACCCGCTCTCAGGAATTCCACCAAACATTGCAGCCTCGAGCATGACAGCTTCATCATGTTCCTCGGAAGATATGCCTCCCCACTTCAGAGAAAATACCAATATTAGTAGCCAAAATACGAATCTTAACTTGCGGTTATAAGTATAAAAAACAGAACATGTTTTCTAATACCTCAGAAGCAAACCCATTGCCACTATCAGGTGGATGGGTACTTGCATGTTCTGCTCCAGGGCTGCGAGAACGATCAAAGTTAGGTGGGGCCTGAGAACCAGAGGCCCCACGCCTCGACCTGTGCCTAACAAGAGGTTGTTCCTCAACATCATCAGAGTCATCCTTCAATGGTGAGCTAGGTGATGCCGATCTGGACATATAAAGGACAATCATTTATGACCTCTTTTTATTTTTTTGGGCAGCACAATACAAACGGCTTTCAAACTGCTAAGAGTCTGCTGCTTATACAGGCAAAAACTAGAACACTCACAAGAGAGGACCGACAAACCTTCCATTCACGGCTTGTGTATTCTGCAGCTCCGGTAAAGTCACTTTAGAAGTTCCTCCTTCTGAGCTTGATGCCTTCAAGCCTTGGTTCCGCAAAACTTCTTCCTCGGCAGACTGAATCCATAAACAATAAAGGAAACCACATAAGAAGGCAGCAAAGAGAAAAAAAATAAAAAAGGAAACAATCACATACCTTCAAGGACATTGTGACAGCTTTTGCTATGTCATCATCTTCATTGTGAGACTGCCTATTTCCAGGAGACGGGTTTCTCGGACCCTGTATTCCAATTTAAGCAACTCATTAGATTTGTTACTTCGAGGTGAACAGAAGCTAAATGCAACAAAGGTACAATTTATATTGCTTGATCAAAATAAAGTTCAACAGTAACCACTCCCTGAATGGCTTACCTCTGCCTCCTTTTTTGAAGCCTCGATGGCAGCCCGGATCATTTCTTCTTCTATGTCATTGTACTCTTGAAAATTATCAGGTGCAGGAGCTGTAGGTCGGACATGCCTACTTTGACCTCTTGGTGCAGCATGACTATTGTCATCACTCTCTTCGTCTATAATGACCATCCCTTCAACAGCCGGACCCTGAGCATGCACGGTCCCTGTCACATCCTCAATAGCAGGAGCATCACTTGACCGACCAGATGGCTCACTGCTATCCTTAACCTCTATCGGTATCTGCCTGACCTCTCTTGGATGTGTGACAAAAGGGGAACGTGACATAAGTGGATCATTATCAAATAAACTTCTACCTAAGTTTGGTTGCAAAAGCGAAAAGGGGTCCATTGTTCTAGCAGCAGAGAGAAGCGACACAGGAGGTTCTCTTCGTGTAGAAGGAATCACATCATCGATATCCATCGCATCATCCTGAGGGACATTCATCGGTGCTTCAGGTACCCTGCACAAAAGGAAATTAAGAACATGCCATGCCCATCAGATAATTACACAAAGAAGGGTGATAAGAGGTGGAATGTAAACAGAACAGAGGTATGGACACACATATTTCGATCTCCCTCACTGAAATATGCATTAACAGCTTCATTGAGATCACCAAGATGCTCCTGCAACCATAAAAAGAGAAAAAGATTCGACAAAAGGTACATCAGCAACGAATCAATAAATTCAGGTGCTGAGGATCTTCTAAAAAAATCAACAAGAAAAAAACTAAATTTTCTTCAATATCATCTCATCCCTTTATCTTTACATGTGAAGAATCCGAGACAAATCAAACCTTTCCTATATCAAAACAAGCGTAAACCACCGATCATTTCAAATTCAATGAAAACCCTCCAAGCTAGACCCACAAAATATATGGAAGAGAATCCACTGAAACTCGGGTAATACAAATAGAAGCTTGTACAACCATCAATGAACAAGTACCAAATACGAAAATCGTGAGAATTCAGGAGCAAGTGGCCGACCAAGCAGCAATGCACTGGCAAAAACCCTCCTAGAAACTCAATCCCATAATCCCTAAAATTTAGAATTCTACACAATCAGCTTCGATAAACACCGCACGCATCAAAATTGACTAAAAACCGAAACGAAGCTGCATCTGACCATCAAAGATCGTCCACCGAACAATCACTTTACCGACTCCAGAAACTCAGGAAACCAAAATTGAACCATCCGATGAACGAGAAAGAGAGAGAAATCGCGACAATGGACATGAAACGAGACCAGAATCGAGAAAGATAACGGAATCACCTCGAGTTTCCGGACGGCGACTGATTCGGAAGCGCCAGTGATGCTCATAAAGGTGTCGATCGATTCCTGGTTGGGTCTCGCCATTGATGACAAGCCGTAGAATCTGAGAGGTGTTCTCCTCGGATCTTTTTTTTTGGTTGCTCGTAATGTTTTTTTTTTAATTTATTTTGATAGGGTTGGAGTGAAAGAGAGGGCAACAAAATTGATGTTCGGCGTTTGCAAGGAAGGAATTCGATCGGCGTTAGGGTCTTCTCTTTTTCCTCTTTTTTTTTTTTATTTTTAAAAAAATAATAATAATATATTTCAATTGCGCTTGAACCTTCTCTACTGTTCCACGCTTAATTGGCGAATTAAGCACATTTGTTATGAACATTTTTAATCTTACTATATAATTTCAATTTGAGGAGAAAAAACTGAGATGTAAGTCCAATATGACTAGAAATATAATTTTTATCCGTTATATATAATATAAACGGCATGCAAAATTATTTCTAACCCTTTTCAATAGTTGAAATATGAGTAGAATTCTAGATAATTGAATTTATGAAATTCAAAGTTTTTTCTGTTATATACTAAATCTTTGCAAGAGCATGGTTAATGTGACATAAAATAAAGACAAAAAGAGTTGAGGGTGGATTCTCATATATTTCACAATATTTTTTTAAAACAAAATCACAAAAAAACATCTTAACTTGTCAAGTTTTAACATAAATTTTAATTTTTATCAAATAAAATTTAATTTAATTTTTGAGTTGCAAATAAAACTAAATTTTATAACAGTTATCATTTTTATATTCATCGCTCATATGATGTACCGATATCGTAATATATGATAACGTATCAAATAAAGTTAAAATGTTGATTTTTTACATAAAATATCAGTATGTTAGATCAAGATTTAGATTTAAAAATGATAAGTATTAAAAGGTTTGAGTTTATTTTTTTTTAAATGAAGATTTATTACTAAGAGAGTGAAGTGTTTGATCTCGTCTCTCCTGATAAGAGATATTTCCTTTTAAAAATTATATAATTAGTATAATAATTTATTATCCTTATATTTTTTGTCCATTTTAAGTAGAGAACAAACAAATGAATATTGTTAAATTTTCAACAATATTAAAGTTTTTATGGTAAATAAATGAAAAGCATCAGTCCTAATTAATTCGAAGCAGGGTGTCGCGGAGTGTGCGAGGACGCGACAATTCGTGGATCTGTTTCACATTGCCATCATTATTTACCTGCTGTCAAAAAGAGGTTGAATTGTCTATTCGCTTCTTTTTTTTTTTACACGTTCGGTAAATTTTTTTTATTTCTCAATGTTAATATTGATATTTTTCTTCTTAATTAACCGTTCAAGCCATCATGTTTCTATCTACTTGTAAATGTATTTATCCAAATACTTCACGAATCTTTTTAAAACAATGATAAACATACACACGATATTCCGTTGGTATATTCAAAATGGGAAATTACTGTCCAAATGTAAGATAGTCATAAGGGTAATTAAATAAAACTATTACAAAGACAAAATCAATTTTAATATTGTTTTTCTTCAAATGTGATATTTGAATCCTTAATTCAGTGCATTCGAAAATTTATGTATAGAAACATTCGATTGCTGATATTTATTTTCTAAATTTTATAAAATATCAAATTATAAATTTGAAGATATAAAATAGTTGCATATGATTCTTTTGTGGTTAAATTTATAGATGCAAACGTGCAAATAAGAATCTGAAAAGGGGTATGCAGTCTGTGTGGTTTTGTTTTGTCAACAGCAAATCACATCGCCCTTCGTAACTGCACACATTTGCTTTTGGGTCTTTGACCACTAGACATCTCTTTGGGCTTCGTTTCTTAATTTACTCCAAAAAAGTTTATTTCCATTTATTTTTTTATTTTTCGTTTATTTTATATTCGATCAGTCTAGTTTCGAAAAATATTCTCAACAGATTTTAAAACTTTGTATATATGAAATGATATATATATATATATAAAAAATGAATGTGGTAAAGATGTACCGACCCACTTCAAAATGCAATTGTATTGGGAATCTTAGAATCGATTTTGGTAAGTTTAATTAAAAATTATTTTCGTCTTCAATATGTGTGTGTGTGTGTGTGAACCGATTGCTATTAGAAATGGAAAGAAAGGGTACATCGGATACTCTAACATTGGTTAGAGTCTACCAATCATTAGTTATTAGGTGCACCTAATACTCTAACTAATCAACCAATTAACGTGTGTTTGCATCTCATAATCTCTATTTAAGACTCTAACATTGACTGCCTTTCATTAGTTTCCATAAATATACATGCCATAATGGGTAGATTACAAGGCAAATTACGAATTATACGCATCTATTATCAGGACAAATACAATACGCAAATATTGTTAAATGAAAATGCGTTCACGTGTCCATGGTGTAGGTCCAAATGTCTGAAGCTTCGCACTCCGCAGATAATGTTGACTTCAAATCAATGGAGCGTTGACTAAAGTCAACTGATCTGAGAAAGCAATAGAACAGAGCCACCGACCGGACCGGCCGACTACTGAGACTCTTTGGACTAATGCCGGGCTCCACCTCTTGTACTTATATGACACGTGGCATAATCAAATCGACCCTGTCGGTACGATATCTCATATATATATATATTTCTGAAGGATAGATTCTACCGGTACACGTGATTATTAAGCAGGATTTACATGTTTCAACTTGCAAATAGATTGTTTTAAAATTTTAAAATACCAGTCTCTCAAATCACTATTTTTAATACAAAAATAACCAAAAGAAAGAGCATTAGTAACATACGTTATCATTTCGATTATTATTTGGTACAATTTAAATATGGATTGATAAGAATCTATGAATGTTTTGTGTTACATATAGTGTTTAATCACTATGTGTAAAGAGTCAAAGTGTGCACGGCCTGACCGGTTCACGGTAGGGAATATGAAAATGAAATAGTAGGGACATAATTTTTGTCATAACGCCCTAACAACTTAGTAGTTGAAATTATATATATATATATATATATAAAGGACCAAAGACTAGCAACTTCCCTTGTCTGTTTTACTTTGAAAAAAATATACATATTTATATAAAATGCATGCTTATGCACCATCCACTATGGGAATACTAATAATAAAACAAACAAAATAAAATACATTAATTTGGTATTATTGGAGTTACGTAACATTTGCTGAGGATTTTCTCTAAATAGTTGCGCAACGTTACGGCGGAAACGACGCCGTATGCCATCCAAACAAAAATCGAAGTGGGGACCACCAGCAACTAGAAGTGATGAGTTTATAGCCGTTAGATCTGGATTTTAAGATTGACGGATTACGATGACGAAATCCCGTTATGGTCCTTTTTTTTGTAACGTACACAAAAAAAAAAAAGATTCATCTGAAGGTATTGACATTTTTTGTCTTGGCGTTGTCCTTCGATGTTTTTATGCCATGGTGGGCGACATATTCCTTGGGTTCACATCATATAATAACCATTCGGGGGATATGGGCATAAACAACGTAGAAGATGACTGATGAATATGGATATTGAAATTCAAAATCATATCTACGATATACATATACCGAATATATATTCTTAGATTCGATCCCGTCTTCAACCATTAACGTCGATTACATGATACTATTAAAAAAAAACTTATGATTAAAGTCGCATATAAGAAAAATGGACTGCCTAATATATTACTAGCACTAATCAATCTCTAATAAATATAAGTCTCGTAAAATGGTTACATATTAAATGTTTATACAATTATTTGTATTGGAGACTGAAAATGTCCATTTTCACAGTAAATATTTATGCTATTGCAGTACCTAGTTCATGCTTATAGAAAATTAATGCCCATTTTATTGGCAAAAAAGGTGGTGAAATGGATTGACATGTGAATATATTTCGATACAATTATTAATTTTCCTTGATATAATAATAACACAATCTTTGTAGATCATCCGTCGTGTTTTCAAATAGTATGCATGTAGATGTTTCGACCTAAGAGCATGATAAGGCATGGCCGCATGGATACTCGTTGAAGAAACTAAAATAAAAAAAATAAAAACAAAAAAACAAAAAGAGCGTGGTAGGCACGCGCGGAAAAGGAGCGTGGGCAGTCTGTATATAGGGAGTGACACTGCACATCCCCTCTTGCGTCTACTTAGCCTCTACCCCTCGCAGTTTCCTCATTTCTCTCTCTCTCTCTCGACAAATGCAGACGACTCCGGCCACCCGAAACGCCGTCGTTTCCATTGTCGAATAGCTCCGGCGATGGGAAAAGCTTCGAGATGGTTCCGGAACCTCTTCGGCCTAAAAAAATCCGACCGGACTCAACCCGACACAACCCACGGGAAACGCCGTTGGAGCTTCGTCAAATCCAAACACACTCCTCCGCCACAGCACCACTCCCCGGTGGCGTCCTGGCAGGAGTATAAGGACTACGGAGGCGGCGAGGATCCCGACAAGCACGCTATCGCGGTGGCAGCCGCCACCG